CTCTCTCTCTTTTTTTTTACACTTTTTCTATACTCACAGATTATTTACAAAAGTATTCTTAGTTTTTTAAAAAATATATTTAAAGCTGTGCATTAGTTTGTTTTGTGTTACTGTAAGAGAATACCTGAAACTGGGTGATTTATAAAGAAGAGAGGATTATTTGGCTTATGATTCTGAGACAGCTGTATCTGGCATGGGCCTCACGGTGCTTCTACACATGGCAGAAAAGTGGCAGGCAGCTGGCAGGTACAAGAAGATCACATGGCAAGAGAGGAAGCAAGAGAGAGAGAGAGGAGGTGCCAGGGTCCTATAAACAACAAGCTCTCACAGGAGCTAATAGAGCGAGAACTCACTCATTACTCCCCCCTCCCCCAGGGAGAGCATTAATCCATTCATAAGGGATCCACCCCCATGACTCAATCAATTTCCAACACCGCCACATTGGGGATCAAATTTCCACATGAGTTTTGGAGGAGACAGCACATCCAAACTCCAGCAGGCTGTTATAGATTTCTTTTTTTTTTTCTTGATTTCTCATTTAATTTTATTGTGGTCAGAGAACACACATTATAAGATTTCAGTCTTGAGACTTGTTTTATCAGTCAGCCTATGTTCTGTTTGGGTAAGTGTCCACACAGTGCTTTATAAATTTCAGTCAGGTTAGGAGAGTGTCATCCATGTTTATATTATTTTTGATGTCGTATCTGTTTGTCCCATCTATTCATTAATTGCCCAACTGCAATTGTGTATTTTTGAGTTTCTTGTTTAGTTGTGTGGGTTCTGTTTTATATATTTTTAGGCACATATATATTTATAAATATTATAACCTCCTGGTATATGATCCATTTATTGTTGTGAAAGGCCTTTCTTTATCTGTGGTAATACATTCTGTGTTGCATTTTATTTTGTCTAGTGTAAGACCTCCACCTGAGCTCTTTATTATTAGAGTTTATGTACATCTTTTTTTTTTTAATCATTTTACTTTCAGTCAGTGTCTTTGTATTCAAAGTATGTCTCTGGATAGCATAGTGTTGAGTTTGTTTTTCTTTTTTTTTAAATGGATCTGACAATTTCTGCCTTTACATTAGTATTTATTCAATTTACATTAAACTATTAATATGGTTGGATTTAGAACACAAAGAGAAGCTCATGTTCAAAAACTCGATGAATTCTACGAAACATTTGGAGAAGATATAGTATCAATTCTTCCCATACTCTCCAAAAAGTAGAAATAGAGACACTTATAAACTCATTTAATGAGGTATTATTATGATAATAAAACCATACAAAGTCATCACAAGAAAAGAAACGTTCTGACCAATGTATCTTGTGAATATAAATGCAAAAGTCTTCAACAAAATACAAGCAAACATAATCCAGCAACATATAAAAATAATCATACCGTATGACCAAGTTGGATTCATCTCAGTAATACAAGGTTAGTTAATAGCCAAAAATATTTAATACACCATATCAATACAATAACAAAACCACATGACCATCTCAATAGGTACAAAAAATGTTTTGACAAAATTCAACTTTCTTTCATGATGAAAACATTCAACAAAGTAGGAATAGAATGTATCAGGCTCAAACTGATAAACAGTATATGAAAAACTCACAGCTAACATCATCCTTAATGGTGAAAAGCTGTACACTTATTTACTGAGATCACTATCAAGATAAATATATCCATTCTCACCACATCTGTTTATTATTGTACTAGAGGTGTTAGCCAGGACTGTTCAGCAACAGATATAAATAAAAGGCATGTTGATTGAAAAGAAAAAAGTTCAATTATTTTTGAGGCAAGATGGCTCTGGGAAGATCAAGGCTGAGTTCCCTGAATCTGCAGAATAATCACAGAGGGGCTGTTGTAGGATCAGAGAAGACACAGGAATTTGAACAAGGCAGGGCATATTTTAGGAAAAGAGAGAACCCAGCGATAGGTCTTGGTGAAGAGTCCAGCCTCTCCACCCACCCCCATCCACCCACCCCAAAACATNTTAAATTATTAATATAGCTGAATTTAGAACACAAAGAGAAGCTCATGTTAAAAAACTTGGTGAATTCTACCAAACATTTGGAGATTTAGTATCAATTCTTCCCATACTCTCCAAAAAGTAGAAGCAGAAGGGACACTTCCAAACTCATTTTATGAAGTCAGTATTATCATGATAACAAAACCATACAAAGTCATCACAAGAAAAGAGACATTCTGACAAATATATCTTATGAATAAAATATAACAGTCCTCAACAAAATACAAGCAAACAAAATCCAGCAACATATAAAAATAATTATACTGTATGACCAAGTTGGATTCATCCCAGGAATAAAAGGTTGGTCAACAGCCAAAAATAATTTAATGTGTCATATCAGTACAATAATAAAATCACATGACCATCTCAATATGTACAAAAAAAAGTTTTGACAAAATTCAACTTCCATGATGAAAACATTCAACAAAGTAGGAATAGAAGGTAACAGGTTCAAGTAATAAAGAGCATACAAAAAACTCACAGCTAACATCATCCTTAATGGTGAAAACCCATATACTTATTTCCTGAGATCAGTATCAAGATAAATATATCCACTCTCACCTCATCTGTTCATTATTGTACTAGAGGTGTTAGCCAGGACTACTCAGCAACAGAAATAAATAATAGGCATCTGCATTGAAAAGAAAAAAGTTCAATTATTTTTAGAGGCAAGATGGCTCTGGGAAGATCAAGGCTGAGTTCCCTGAATCTGCAGAATAATCACAGAGGGGCTGTTGTAGGATTAGAGAAGACACAGGAATTTGAACAAGGCAGGGCATACTTTAGGAAAAGAGAAAACCCAGGGATAGGTCTTGGTGAAGAGTCCAGCCTCTCCACCCACCCCCATCCACCCACCCCAAAACATAACATTTTTTTCACACACAAACCACATTCTACATTTGAGTTCAAATCAACCTGAATGACTCAAATGAGGCATTTTCCTTTTGGGGGGAGTTGAGGCCTTTTCCTGTTTGGGGAGGAACAGTGGTGATAGTGGCAACTCTCAGAAGCCCCTGTGCTTTTGCCCCCCAAACTTAATCCCCATTGTAACTGTTGAGAGTGGGAAATCTGATTATGGTAATTGAAACGGGGCTTTGAAGAGGTGATTGTAGGACCATACCACAGTGAATGGATTAATAATGGTGGTCAGGAGCATGGTTCTGAGGGCTTTAAGAGGAGAGCACATGAGAGATTCTCTCTCTCTGCTCCCCCATTTTCTGCCGTGTGAGACTCCTGCATTGACATAAAGCCAACACCAAAGAAGACCCTCACCAGATATGTTCCCTAGACTTTGGATTTCCCAGCCTCTGAAATTGTAAGCAATAAATTTCATTTTCTTATGTTACCCAGTTCCAGGTATTTTGTTGTAAGTAATACAAAAAACTGATACCAGGAGTAGGGTGCTGCTTAAAACAAATAACTTGAAAATCTGGAAGCAACTTTGGAACTGGTCGTTGAGGAGAGGCTGGAAAAATTTGAAGGAACAGCCTAGAAAAAGCCTAAGTTGGAGTTTAGAAGACAAAATCAGGGAAGGTTTGGAATGTTTTAGAGACTGGTTAAATGGTGGTGACCTAACCATTGTAAGGAGGTCTCAGATAGAAATAAGAAGGGGGGTTTTTGGAAATGGGCAAAAATCAACCTTGCTATGAACTGTCAAGGAATTTGGCTGTGTATTGTTTATGCCCCAAAGTTTTATGGAATGTGGAACTTCAAGGTGCTGAACTAGGGTATTTGGCAGAAGAAATTTCTAAGCAGAAAAGCCTTAAGGAAGCTGCATGGCTACTTGTAACAGCCTAAACTGAGTTATGGTGGCAAAGTCATGACCTAAAGCCAGAATTTAAGAGAAGCACATCATGAAGATTTGGAAAATTTGCAGTCTAGCCCTGTGGTAGAGAAAACAGAGCATTTTCAAGAAAACAATGAAATGGTATAGCCCAGTGACTGTTTGCTAACGAGATTAGAACAGAAGAAAGGAATTATCAGGAGAAGGAAAAAAAATACCTTGAAGGCATTTCTGAGATCTAAGAGGCTGCATGTTCCATTACAGGCCCAGAGAACTAGGAAGGCAGAATGGTATTGGGGAACAGGCCCAAGATGCCCTCCTCAGGCTCACTGCCCAGGGCCATCTCAGGGTGCTGCTGTGGGAAGCAGCTGCTTCTGCTGCTCCAAGCATGGCTAAATTGTTCCCAGGCATGGTTGGACCCACAACTTTGGAAGATACAAGCCAGAAGCCACATGGTGTTAGGTCTTCAGGTTCTTGGAATGCGAGAGCTGTGAGGGCTTCCATCCTGATTTCCAAGAATGTATGGAAAAGCCTGGGGGCTCAGGAAGAGATCTGTCATGGTGCAGACTCATTGCATAGAGCATTTGGTAGAGCTATGCTGATGGAGTTTGGATGTGTTGTCCCCTCCAAAACTCATGTGAAAATTTGATCTCATATGTGGCAGTGTTGGAAACTGATTGAGTCTTGGGGGAGGATCCGTCATGAATGGATTAATGCTCTCCCTGGGGGAGGAGGGGTAGTGAGTGAGTCCTTGCTCTATTAGTTCCCATGAGAGCTGATTGTTTAAAGGACACTGGCACCTCTCTCTCTCTCTCTCTCTCTCTTGCCATGTGATCTCTTTGTACCCACCAGCTGCCTGCTGCTTTTCCACCATGAGTAGCCTGAGACCCATGCCAGAAGCAGCTGTCCCAGAATCATAAGCCAAATAAACTTCTTTCCTTTATAAATTACCCAGTCTCAGGTATTTCTGTTATAGCAACACAAAACCGACTAATACATATGCCAAGAGGAAATGTGAGGTCAGAGTAGCAGCAGCAGAATCCCATGAAGGCCAACCCTACTGGAGCCATGGCACTGGGAACACCATAGAGACCCCAGACTTGTGAAGAGTTCAGCGTGCAGCCACAGCCTGTGAGAGCTGAAGCGTGGCCACAGACCAGGAATGTAATAGAAGAGGAGTGACTTGAGGACCCAGCCCTCACATCAGCATGCAGGGGGCGCTGAACATGGAGTCAAGGTATGTGATTCACCCACTCTAAGATTTAATGCCTGCCCTGCTTTGTTTTGGACTTGCTTAGAACCTGTTACACCTTTCCTCTGGTCTGTTTCTCCCTTTTTGAATTTGAATATGTACCCTATGCTTGTCTCACTATTGTATCTTGACATTAGATAACTTGTTTTGATTTCACAGATGGGACCTTGAGACTTTGGACTTTTGGGTTGAACAAATTACAACTTTGGGGCTATGGGGATGAAATGAAGGTATTTGTATGTAAAGAGCACATGAGTTTTGGGGGCCAGGAGTGGAATGTCTTGGGTTGAGTGTCCCCCCAAACCTTAATCCCCACTGTAACTGTTGAGAGTGGGAAATCCAATTATGGTAATTGGAAGGTGGGGCATTGATGAGGTGGTTAGGTTGTCAGACCATGCTGTAGTGAATGGATTAATAATGGTGGTCAGGGACATGGTTCTGAGGGCTTTAAAAAGAGAGCACATTAGAGACTCTCTGCTCCACCATTTTCTGCCATGTGAGACCCCTGCATTGCTGTAAAGCCACCACCAAAGAAGATCATCACAAAGAACAGAAACAAACTAATACACCCTGTGTGAAACTCCTTGCTTGGTTTGTGTCAGAAATTAGGGAAGAAAAGGCAAAGTTACTGTCTGTATTAGTCAGTTTGTGTTGCTTATAATAAAATACTTGGAACTGGGTAATGTATAAGAAAATGAAATTTATTGCTTACAGATTCAAAGGCTGGGAAGTCCAAAGTCCAGGGAACACGTCTATTGAGGGTCTTGGTGGTGGCAACAGTGACACAGGGGTCTCACATGGTAGAAAATGGTGGAGCAGAGAGAGACTAACCTCTCATGTGCTCTACTTTTAAAGCCCTCAGAACAACACCCTTGACCACTTATTAATCCACTCACTGTGGCATGGATGCTATCGTCTAATCACATCTTTAAGGCCCCACCTTCAATTACCATAATAGAATTTCCCACCCTCAACAGTTACAGTGGAAATTAAGCTTCTAATATATGAACATTGTGGGACACAATCAATCCACAGCATTCCACCCATGGCTCCCAAAGTTCATGTCTTTCTCACAGGTAAATACATTCATTCCATCCCCAAAGTCTTAACTTGTTTCAACTCAAAAGTCCAAAGATCAAAGTCCCACCTATGAATTCAAAACAAGTTATCTATTTCTAAGATACAATAGTGAAACAAACATAGGGTACATATTCCCACTCAAAAAGGGAGAAATAGACCCCCCAACAGTGGGTAACTGATTCCAAACAAGTCTGTAATCTTGCAGGGCAGGCATTAAATCTCAAAGCTGGTGAATCATGTACCTTGACTCCATGTTTGACATCCTCTGTATCCCGGTGGTGTGGTTGGGTCCCTAAGTCCTCATGCAGCTCTGTGTCTATGGCTTTCCTGGTCTGAGGCCATGCTTCAGCTTTTGCAGGCTGATATTGCACACTGGTAGCTCCACAATTATGGGGTCTCCATGGTGATCCCACTCTCATGGCTCCACTAGGCATGGCACTGATGGGGTTTCTCTGCTGCAACCCCATGTTTCCACTTTACATTGCTCTAGCAAAGGGTCTGTGCAGTGACTCTGCCCCTGTGACAGATCTCTTCCTGGGTCCCCAGGCTTTTCCATGCATCCTTTGAAATCCAGGTGTAAGCTCCTAAGCCTTCACAGTTATGACATTCTGCAAGCTTGCAGATTAACACCACATGGATGCCACAAATGCTTCTGGCTTGTGTTTTCTAAAGCTGCAGGTCCAACCACTCCAGGGGCCAATTTAGCCACAGCTGGAGCAGCCAAAGCAGCTGGGGTGCTGTTGTGGGGAGCAGCATCCTGAGGTGGTCCTTGGCAGTGAGCCCATGGAGGGCCCTTGGGCCTGTTCTCCAAAACCATTCTGTCTCCCTAGGCCTTTAGGCCTTTAATGGAAGGGTTGGCTGCAGAGACTTCTGCAATGCCTTCAGGGCCTTTTTCTCCTCCTCTTGATGACTCCTTTCTTCTGTACTCATCTCTTTCGCAGAGGACCCCAGGACTATATGCTAGCTTTTCTGGCCAGGCTTAAAGTTTTCCAACTTCTCACCCTCTGCTTTCTTTTGAATTATGAATTCTGGCTTTACCTTATGCCTTTTCTGCCATAACTCAGGGTAGGGAGTTACAAGTAGCCATTCAGCTTCCTTAATGCTTTGCTGCTTAGAAATTTCTGCCAAATACTCTGGCTCACAACTCTTCAGTTCCAACTTCCACAATTCCTAGGGCATAAACACAATCCAGCCAAGTTCCTCACCAGTTTATAGCAAGGGTGATCTTTACCCCAGTTTCCAAAAAGTCCCTTCTTATTTACATCTGAGACCTCCTTATAATGGTCTTTATAGTCCATGTTTCCATAAGCATTCTGGTAGGTCACCACCATTTAAACAGTCTCTAAAACATTCCACACTTTCCTTGGTTTTCTTGCTTTCATCTAAGTCCTCTAAATTCCAACCTTTGCCCAACTCCCAGTTCCAAAGCTGCTTTCACATTTTCAAGTATTTGTTATAAGAAACACCCCACTTCTCTGTTACCAATTATCTGTATCATTCAATTTCTGTTGATTATAACAAAATACTTGGAACTGGGTAATTTATACAAAAATTAAATTTATTGCTTACAGTTTTGTAGGCTTGGAAGTCTAAAGTCCAAACACATCTATTTAGGATATTGGTGGTAGCAACAGTGACCGGGGGTTTCACATAGTTGAAAATGGTAAAGAAGAGAGAGTAACTTCTCGTGTGCTCTTCTTTTGAAGCCCTCAGAACAATGCCCCTGACCGCCATTATTAGTCCATTCACTGTGGCGTGGTCTTACAATCCAATCACCTCTTCAGAGCCCCACCTTTCAATTGCAATAATAGAATTTCCCACTTTCCACAGGTACTTTGGGAATTAAACTTTGAATATATGATCTCAGGAGGACACAATTCAATCAATACACAGCAATGTCTTATCTCACAAAAAAACAAGTAAGGATTTGATAGATAGGTAGATGGATGAATGAATAGAACTTGGGACTTTGGGTAAATAGTTATTAGACACTGGCATGTAAATTAGAATAAAAATTATGGAATTCATCTACTGTATGCCCCTGCTATTTTATTCCAGTATACACTAGAGCAGTTTCCCTCTGAGTAATGTAATTCATTGAAGACTCACAAATTAGTTCACTGGGTGAGAACAAACATCTATTTAATAGATTTGAAGAGAGTTACTGTGTTTATTTTATTTATTTATCTTTTATTTTGTGGATGGCCTGTATGGGGATCTGAACCCTTGACATTGGTGTTATATCATAGTGCTCTAACTACCTGAGCTACCTGGCCAGCGCCCATGTTAATTTCTTGATTGGTAACAAACTTAAAGTAAAACAGAGACTTGATTGTTCATGCTTTAGAATACATCATAAAAAATATATATGGGTTCTATAACTACAATACTCTTTGTAAACTTAAAAGGTTAAGGCTAATTGTTAGTATCATCAACTGCTTCACCCACACTTGTATTTCCCCATTCATTTCAGATGTGTCAGCTCCTCAAACCAGGATTTAATAGAGAAGCAGACTGTCACACACTGTCACATGGGTAGGGGCCAGTACTGGCCATCAGGTCATTGTCTACAGGCAGCAGGACTGACTCGCTTGAAACAAAGGAAACTTCCTCAGTTGGTTCCTAGTGGACTGTGCAGAGGCTTGTGGGAAATGTAGGCTAGACCTCCAATGACATCATTTAGATCATGAGGAATTTTTCAGGTTCCTTCTGCATATGTGCCACTCCTCAGACTTCCTTCAGCTTCACCCAGAAATCTGGACACTGCTGGCTCTGCTGATGCTGCTCCACAGACTCTGGGGTTGGAATCTGCATCCTAGTAGTAATGCGGGGGGAAGGGAGGAGACTTGGGGGGCAATGGAGGCAAGACAGGAGTCCCAGGACTTGATGGAACAGAAACCCCAGTGGGTCTCAAGAAGGCAGGGCCTGATGTTAGACTAGGGCAGTGCTTTCCATGGCTGCTCTGTCAGGAGATGTTGAACTTTCTTGATGAAGCTCAGTCCCTACTGAGCTGTGCTTCTGGCCCACACATGTGGTGATGGCCTTAGGAGTCCAGGGAGAAAGCATTTGGGAGAAAGTATTTGGGGCACATTTGAACAAGAGTTAATAGAAAGAGATGAATGCAAAGAATAAAAACAGTACAGATTATCATAATTTGTACATTTTGCTTCTTTAAACTATGTCAGTGATTCTATCTCTGGTTTCCATTAATATGTAGTTGTACACAGTTAAAAAAAGCCCATATTTTAAACTATTTTTTATTGAAATATAATTTGTGGGGTACACAGTGGAATGTCAGTACTGTGTACAGTATTGATTATCAATTCAGGGTAATTAGTATATCATTGTTACAAGACAAAATCGTTCTTCATGACCCTTAACCAGTTCTCACTGATCCCCTCCCCCTCTCCCATGCATTATTTCTGTTTCTGTGCCTGGCTTATATCACTTAACATAGTTTTCTCCAAGCTCATTCATGTTGCTGTGAATGGCAGAATTCCATTTTCTTTTTTATGGCTGAATAGTATTCAATTGTGTATGTATACCACATTTTCCTTATCCAGTGTCCATATTTTGGCTATTGTAAGTAGAGCTGTGATAAACATGGGAGTTCAGGAGTTCCTTTGGTATGATGACTTTCATTCCTTTTGGTATATACTCAGTAGTGGGATTGCTGGATTGTATGACATTTTTATCTGCAGTTGTTTGAGGAACCTCCATGCTGTTTTCCATAATGGCTGTGCTAATTTAAAGTCCCACCAACAGTATAGAAGAGTTCCCCTTTCTCTGCATTCTTGCCAGAATTTTTGTTTTCTGTCTTTTTGATAATAGCCATTCTAACTGGGGTGATATGATATCTCAGTGTGGTTTTGATTTGCATTTCCCTGATGGTAAGTGATGTACAA